CTCGTTCTTCCCCTGCTGTGGTTCAGTCTGCACCCCCTCGTTCTTCCCCTGCTGTGGTTCAGTCTGCACCCCCTCGTTCTTCCCCTGCTGTGGTCACTCTGCGTGCATCTTAACGCGACCTTACTATGTCCATATATATTGTTATTCATTGCCTTATGGGGCACAGCCCTGTATTTTGGTAACTTTTGTTTTGTTTTTCAGTGACTGATTTTTTCTTGCCTCTGGGCCCTCCTCCTTTGACTTATTCCATGCTATCTGAACTCATTCATTGACCATCGTTCAGTGCCTGGCTGTATATATACATTGAAGTCTCTCTGTATATATACATATATGGTTGATCATGAACATTACGTTGCCATTTGCTGCCCAGGTCGTCTTCATTACTCATATTGATTACACAATTTTTGTCCCTAGCTACCTGTGCTTGGACTATATTTAAGGTCTTTTCCTTGCATATTTATGCCTTTCCTACCTCTACACTACACTTTGTTGTGTTTCTTAGTATGAGCTTATTGTATACTATTGCTAGGTTGGACTGTGTACATGTTCAGCTCCCTGTTATTAAACAGCCCCAGTGTTCAGTTATGGAATTGGATTCTTTCATCATCTCCTTGTATGTCACTACCAGCTTCTGTGTTGCAATGTCTGCAGGTGGATGTAGATTTCCAATCATCCACTCCTGCCCCTACAGTTCCTTTTTGTTGGGATGGTAGGGGGCTAGGATAGGCTAGATAGGCCATGCTCTGGCTATGGCTTTTCTTTGTGTTCCTTTTCCAGACGGTACATTTTGTTTTCGTGCAGCACACACGTCCTGAGTAGCTCGCCTCAGTCATTACTCAGCGACACGGGTGTCATTCTGCCCTGCAAGAGCTGGTTGTGCCGCTCCTGCGGGTTGCGGTGTTGTTGTTTTTTTGTTTCGCGTTTTGACTTGTGGTGCTAGTTTCCTCGTTGGCCTCGGCCTGGGCCCTGGCTCCTAGGTTTTCGTCGCCATTTTGTCCTTGCTGTTTGCAAAATCTGTGGTTCTGCAGTTTCTGCTAGCGACGGCTTCTTGTTGTCATCCATTATCGGACTTCTTGGTCCTTCAGGGGTCCTGGGGCAGTAGTTCCTCCCGGATGGGACATATCTGCTCGACCGGGTTGGTTTTTTCCCGGCTCGCCGGGTTTGGGTTCCTGGTTCCATGGCAGACGTTCCTTCTGGTTCCTTGACAGCCTTGGTTTCCGGTGCTGCTTGCTCGGTATACCCATGGGTTTCCCACAGCTCCGCCTCTTTCAAATAGTCGGTCCAGTTCGTGACGGGGCTGGTTAGATCTTCTCGAGTCTTCAAGTCTGGTATTCTTGACTCGTGTCTCTCGCCATCGGTTTGGTGATCAGGTGGCTTTGTTGATGATGTCCCAGCTGTGTGCTTCGTCTCGGCGGCAGTATGGGGTTTTCTGGCAGTCCTTCCTTTTCTTTTTGTCTCCTCATAGGTATGCTGCATTTTTTGTTGCTGTGGTCTTGTCCCTCTCTCATAGAGTTCCAAATCGTTGGCTTGTCACATACTGTCATCTTGCCACATACTGTCGCCTTGTCTCGTGCAGTGCTGGCAGAGCCGCTACGGGTTGCTTTCAGTTTTGCTGTTCATTCTGTGCTGTTTCGCAAGCTGTCTTGGGCGTCGTTCACCTCCGACTTGCTCATGCTCTGCCTGAGCAGTCCTGGTCTTAGACAGGGTGCTCTTTTCTCTCTTCCCCTCTGTTTGTTGTGGCCCCTTCGGTTCAGGTTTGTTCCTCGGGGGTTTCTGCTTTTTGGGTTCTGGGGGTTGGTTTGTTCGTTTGCGGCCATCTCATTTTTTCTGGCGTGGTTATCTTATCTTGAGGTTATCTTGAGATGATTTTTGGGCTTAGCGTCCCCGCAGCCCAGTCCTCGACCAAGCCTCCCTATTGTTATACACCCCCAGGAAACAGCCCATAACAGCTGTCTAACTCCCAGGTACCTATTTACTGTTAGGTAACAGGGGCATCAGGGTGAAAAAACTTTTTGCCCATTTGTATCCGCCTCCACCGGGGGATCGAACCCGGAACCTCAGGACTACGAATCCGAAGCACTGTCCACCCAGGCGGTTGGGACAACTGTTTTCCAGGGTGTTCCCTGAAGTTGTTGATGCTTGGTTGGTTGGCCGGGTGTGCATCTTCTTGTGTCCAGTTATGACTCTTAACCGTTCCCTGTGTGTCATGGCCTCAGTAGCCTTGGACGCGCTTTGGGTTGCCCATGTTCCCTTCGTTCCTGTTCCAGGGTTCGGGTCTTTTGGGTCATCCGCGGGGTCTTTTGATGTTGCCAGTTGTTTTGCTTTCGGGTTCGGGTGTGTGGTTTTTACCTCCCGAGTTTGTCCCTTTTTTGTCCTTGGCTTTGGGTAGTTAGCTCTGGGAAGCCAAAGGGGCTCCCCCCCCCCCCCCCCCACCCAAAAAAAAAACAGCTTTGAATGTAATGAAACACCGTTTTCTGGATCTCGGAGGCTCCCCGGCAACCCTCCCTCCCTCCGATTGGCATTTTTTTTGCGTGTTTTTGACATCCAGCCTCAGAACTACACGGTAGATTGCCGGCAAGGGGGGTCTGGACCTTCCCCTTTCCCCTCCTGAGGAGAGGGGAGCTGCGCTGATATGCAGCGTGGCTTGTGTGACATCATGCTTGTTTTCATTTGGGAAGTTCTGTCCACTCATTTGTCTATTTTCAATGTTTTTTAACCGGAATAGGGGTTTGTTTTGGGGCACTTACTTTTCTGGATGCCTGTCCCAGTTGATGGCAGATATAGAGTGCTCCAAATCACATGTGCATTTCTATAGGCCATTGCTCCTTGTGCCTCTCTGAGGGGGAGTCAGACTTGTGGTCCCCAGTAGGTCTAGAAGTCCACCCACACTGACTGACGCCAAAGTTTAGGTATATTCATATCAGCCTGGATAGCTCTGGGAAGTCTTCGGGATTCACCCAGAAAATCCTGTATTTCCCAGAAAAGTATTTCCCAACATCTTCATCTCCCAATGGCTAGCGTCGTTGGAAGATCAAGATGTTTGGGAAATACAGTACTCCAGACTTTCGATCTCTCTTTAACACTTTCCCTATCTCATGACACTTAATGCGTCACCAATTTTTCCTATCTCGTGACACTATTTGAGTCCAACAATAAAATACTTGTATGAAAGTCATTTTTTCTCCTATCGACTTTGGAATAGTTTCAAAATGAGTGCCTTTAAATTGCGCACAATTGACGCACAAAATGAGAGGTGTAACATGAAACTTGATGTCAGAACACTTTTTTTTTTTTTTCTACCACGACATGGCCACACATTTACAATGCTAACCAGCATATATACATTTTCTTCTGTCCTCCATGGACAGGGTTAGAAATCGGTTAAACATATAGTTCAGGGATTTATTGAACAATCAACCACAGAAGGTGATTCGGTACTTTTAAAATGCTAAGCTAACCTACATACGTAAATACATAGATACACAGATTTACGTATGCCCTACATAAAGTGTTCAAAGTGTCATTAACACTATCGCGCACCCCACGAGCGCGCCGCAGACTTTGACGTCATGGCCCCAATGGTGCGGGCGAGCATGCAACGACGCCTAAATGTGTATACTGGTTTCAGTTTTCTCACCTTAATTCTGGTGCTACATCATTCGTTTTGGTATCATTGTGTTCGCAATTAAATTCCCTACAGGTGTGTATAAATATAATGTCCAAAAGCCTGGCGTGACTCCCAACAGCAAAGCCTAAAGTCAGCAACAGTTACCCGTGAGCGCACAAAATCAGTAAAATGTGCATACTCGTTCCATTTTTCTCACCTTAATTTTCGTGCTACGTCGCTCGATTTGGCATCATTGTGTTCGCAGTTAAATTCCCTACAGATGTGTATGAATATAATGTACAAAAGTTTGGAGTGCCTCCCCGCAGAAAAGCCTAAAGATACCCGTGAACGAGCACCAATTTGTACACTGCAACACTGCAACCTAATGTGTATACTCGTTCAGTTTGATAACATCAATTTTCGTGTTACGTCTTTCATTTTGGTATCAAATTGTTCACAATAAAAAGGCGCATATTTTAAAACTAGTCCCATAATAATAGAGCAATAACTGGAATTTTAACAATATTTTAATTCTGGAAGCTCATCATCACAAAATTATTTATATCTTTCCAGTGTTCTGACATAAATGTTTGTGTTGCATCTTTCATTTTAGTATCAAATTGTTCGCGACGTAAAGGCGCACATTTTAAAACTAGTCCCAACATCTTGAGATGATTTCGGGGCTTTTAGTGTCCCCACGGCCCGGTCCTCGACCAGGCCTCCACCCCCAGGAAGCAGCCCGTGACAGCTGACTAACACCCAGGTACCTATTTTACTGCAGGGTAACAGGGGCATAGGGTGAAAGAAACTCTGCCCATTGTTTCTCGTCGGCGCCTGGGATCGAACCCAGGACCACAGGATCACAAGTCTAGCGTGCTGTCCACTCGGCCGACCGGCTCACGGCTAATAGCATAATAAATAGAATTTTAACAAATATTTTAAAATTTTGACCAAAAACCTATTTATAATCATATAAGTGTTCGTACATCAAGTTTCATGTTACATCTTTCATTTTGGTATCAAATTGTGTGCATTCTAAAGGCGCTTATTTTGATACTATCCCGAGGTCGATTGGATAAAAAATGAATTTTATACAAATATTTTTGTAGTGGACGCAAGTCTGGTCCAAAGTTAGGACTCGGGAGAAAAATAATGGACGCGAGTCCGGTCCAAAGTTACCGATAGTGTTAAATTAAAGATCTGCTGTGGCAGAATGGTTAGAGTACTGGTTGCGTCAAGGTGCGCAAACACCTGGCCTTCTAAGTTTCGAGTCCTCTCACTGGGGTGGGGTCCTGTGTGTTTACCTATGACTTGAATTTATACAAGTGTACCGTGTGTGTGTATAATTAATTAAATTATTTGGCATATAATAATAGAATTTTGTGCATTACAGTACGGGTTTGGAGGAGAGGCCAGTTTAGAGGGGAGCAACGGTCGCGTGGAAGCAGTGGTTGAGCAGCTGCGGGAGGTTGTGGGGCAACAAGTGCCTCACTCCACACTCGTACGCATCACCTTGGCTGCAGATTATGATCTCAACCGAGCTCTTAATTTTTTCTTTGCTTCGTCTCCATAGATGATGTATTTCTACTCTTTCATATTGGTGTATAAATTATTTTTAATATCGTTGTACTTACTACAATAGAAATGATTATTTTACATGTGGACCATATGCAGATAATGCTGGATATCAAAATATATCCACAAGTATCTCTTATATTTACAGATCATGTGGAGTTGTACCTAGCTTCTGTCCAGTGATGGTAATGAGGATAGACATTTTATTAGGCAAGCACGACCAATGCAAATAATTTGTTATAAATGTACGACAGGCCAGGCTGAGAGTTAAGCAAGCCTTCATTGTGCTCACTTCATCTCGTGTCTGTCATTTCCCTTCATATCAGTGAAGTAACGGGCTAACTAATCCACCATTTCTGGTCTTATGAGCTTTATTCCCCTTGTCATTATATATAAAGTTTGAAACTTAACAACCTATTTATTAGTGTAGTATTTTTGACTAATTAATATGCCGAAATATTTGACGTACTCTTGTCCAGGGACGTTTTATTTTAATGACAATTGAAGCTGGTCTTCAGAATCACTAAAAGCTGTTAGATAATTTTGAATTATATTTTAAAATTAAAATATATGAGGAAGTTTGTATGTGCATGTTTAAATGTTTTTACAATAACAGTGGAAATGCTGAAAATATATGTAAAATACAATGAGTCTCTGTATTGAATATTGACTTTATTAAAGTATTGTTGATAATAGCTCAGATGGTTAAGATATATGATGCTTGAAAGCAAGATGCTACCGAGATAAGTGTTGCCGAGTAACTGTTGACAACCGAGTCACTGCATCAGAAGTTGCGTACCTAAACTGTACGCAGTTACGGAACAAAACATCGCTTGCACTTAAACATCAAGCTGTTTTCTTGAGAGCGTTATCTAGTGTTGACTTGGTGTTGGAGGATAACGTATCGGAAGACTTTATTAAATACTCGGTGACTGAAATAAGAGGACTAAGCTACAACATATTACAAGAACACAACCTAACATCTCTGGTGGGAGTAGACAAGGTGGAAGAAGGCATCCTCTTTAAGCTGAGAGAAAATAGGACAAAAGAACATCACTGGAAATTGAAAATTCAAGCGAGTTGTAGAAATGTAAGAGAATCCGCGTACTCGGTACAGATGATTAACAAGTCTAATTCTTTGAAGAGAGATGTCATATATACCATGCAATTCCATTTTTTTAAAGGTAAATATGAAACCTAACTTGAACATCAAGTGATTTGACCCTTGACACCACGCAACTGTCATGAAAGGTGCCGCTCTGCTTATGTGGATATAATAACAGGACAGTAATAATTTATTATTATGAAATGATGCATTTATATGTAAAATAATAACCCCAAATAAATAAGTAAATAAATAAATTATATTATTGTCTGGTGTGTCTGTGGTGCACTATTTGGTGACTCGTCATATAGGGGGGAGGGTTGTGATCATTCTGGCAGGTTTATATGTTCCCTGTTTTACTGTAGTTTGAATAGTATATGGAAAAGCTACAGATATATAGTTGACAAAAATGGTGATTCACAATGTAATATGTACATTTGTATTTTTCATAAATGTGTTGGTGGCATAGCTCCAAAGTGTGTTGTAATCAACTCTTGGGAAGCCAGTGTCCTGGCACTCCATCGAGAAGTACATACAAACACTGGCAGGAGAGACTAATTGTGATATGACAATTGCAGGCTGCTGGTTCACAATAACCTTGTCACACGATAACAAATTAAAAACTAGAGCAGAATTTATTTGTGGGTCTTAAGTGAACTCCATTATATGGATGTGTTATAACATGTACATCACTTGTGTAAAAATAGGCAGTAATAACTGAACTTGACATATGAGGATAGTTTCATTACCTCGGGGATCGACGTATGACATCTGCACTTTTAGTTAAAAATTCATCGGGTACATAAAGCTCCTAGGCAGGGCATAAGTGTCAACATGAGATTGGTATAGGGGAATATTAAATTATTAAAGTTGAATAATACTGAGGAGAAGCTGTCCATGTTTGTGTCCCCACACGTACAGTACACATCCCAGGTCTTGCACTATGACCCTCACGCTCACCTGGGGTCACCACCCACTCTTCTCTCACCTAATATTTTTATCTTTTTTATGTGTGTGTGTTTATATATATATATATATATATATGTATATATATATATATATATATATACATAAAATATATACATAAAATATGCACATTTGCCAATATAAAGCTAATTTATATGTTTGTTTTTCTTGTCACACTTTAGACAATAGTGTTGTGTTTTGCCAGGAGTTAATGTTTTTGTTAACCACTTCCCACTTTGGTGCCAATGTTAAGTTCTGTTTTTATATTAGACTTCATGCACATTGCTGAACATATAATCAAAATTATGGTCTTATGTTAATTTTAAGTTCAAAATAATTAAGTTTGGTCATGAGATAAGGTTTCAGAGTTAAAATAAGACTCAATAAGGTAAACTCAATTAATTTCCAGAGAAGAGAATTCTAAAATAGCACTTAGAGTTTTTAATCAAGATTAGAATTCAATATGAGTAGCATTAATATTCTTCATGAATTGTGCAAGGTAAGAGCGACTACCCTACATGCAGCCATTTTGAGGCCTTACCCAGGACATTGGCTTGAGTGGGGTGTGTTTAGTAGGTATTCACCTAGTTGTCCTAGGTGAATACCCCACAAACACACCTAATTGTGTTTGCAGGGGTCGAGCTTTGCTCTTTCGGCCCGTGTCTCAACTGTTTACTATTTTTTTTCCCCCACACCACACACACACACACATTCCCCAGGAAGCAGCGTGTGACAGCTGACTAACTCCCAGGTACCTATATATAGTACCAATGGGCTCATTGAATTGGTCCCAGGTACCAATAGGTGTATACCCAGTTGTGTTATGCTTCATTTATGTAACATATTGAGTGAATTGCAAGAAATCTATGGGCCAGATTATATTTTATTTTGCACTTTAAGTAGAATATAACCAAATTACTAAGATAATTGGTTACAAATTCATTTTGTTAGTAAAATGTTAGAGAGGTAGTGAATGTTTTTGAACTTGTTGGAGACCGAGCAGGATGAAGGTATGCATAGGGCTTTTCTGCCTAGAAAATGTTAACATAGAGAATGCTATATAGTCATACTGGCTTGCTGCTTCCTTTTTCATGATGACTACCTCAACCCAGTCCTCCTCCCCCCCCCCCCCCCTCCTCTTCCTCAGTTACTGTCATCCCTCGGGCCACACTTGACGCCTGAGGGGTACCACATACCACACCTGAGCAGGATGTTGCTTGCACGACACACCTGAGCAGGATGTTGCTTGCACGACACACCTGAGCAGGATGTTGCTTGCACGACACACCTGAGCAGGATGTTGCTTGCACGACACACCTCAGCAGGATGTTGCTTGCACGACACACCTCAGCAGGATGTTGCTTGCACGACACACCTGAGCCAGGATGTTGCTTGCACGACACACCTGAGCAGGATGTTGCTTGCACGACACACCTCAGCAGGATGTTGCTTGCACGACACACCTGAGCCAGGATGTTGCTTGCACGACACACCTGAGCAGGATGTTGCTTGCACGACACACCTCAGCAGGATGTTGCTTGCACGACACACCTGAGCAGGATGTTGCTTGCACGACACACCTGAGCAGGATGTTGCTTGCACGACACACCTCAGCAGGATGTTGCTTGCACGACACACCTCAGCAGGATGTTGCTTGCACGACACACCTCAGCAGGATGTTGCTTGCACGACACACCTGAGCAGGATGTTGCTTGCACGACACACCTCAGCAGGATGTTGCTTGCACGACACACCCAAGCACGATGCTGATTTTATGAGACTCGAGCACACATAGGCAAATTATTTTCAAAATATCATGTGACAGAGTGCTGGGATGATGGGACACCACGGGCATAGCGTTCATCCTGTAACTACTCTTAGGTGATTACAGTTAAGTAATTACACACACACAAGGGAAGGGAACTATCAGGGGAAAGCATCAAGCGATTACGACTATAAAGCGCTGGGAAAGGATCAGGATCAGGATTTGGGCCGGGGGGGGGGGGGGAATGGTGTCTAACCACTTGGACGGTCGGGGATTTAACACCGACCTCCATGAAGCGAGACGGTCGGTCTGCCGTCCAGCCCAAGTGGTTGGGCACACACACAAGATGAATGCACAACTGCAATTAGCTGCAGGTCCTACTCTACCTTCAGCAAAGAAGCCTGTCTGTGTCATATTGGGTATTGTTTGTGCCCGACTTACTGCAGCAGCTGGTTAAGATTGGAGCTGTAGAACTCTTACTGAGACATTAACATGAGTTTCACATTACTGCTCATTATTCCCCAAGTTTTCAAGGCAACCAGATATTTGTGGTGCAGTAATTAAGCATAGAACATGCTGTGTTTTACCTGAACATGGGAGTAGCATTGCTTAGCCACCGTTGCAAAGATATGGGACAGAGTGCTAGATAATTAGCTTCAGACATTGCACTTTAAACTTATAGGCCAAAGAAAGGAATTTAACCTTTATAGTGCAGTATTGTCTTCATTTGCTGATAAAGAAAGGGCTTGTCTCGCTATTTGCTAATATTATCACTATTGTAGCTATTGTGTAAACGTATTGTGATTATACAGTGTGTGCACGCACGTACACATTGACATTGTGTGTGTGTGTAACAGCATAAACACAGTATATATCTTGTCTGTGTGGCATAAAAATGTATTTATATTCTGTAAGCATTTCCTTGTGCATTTAAGAAGACACTGTACTGTGTTCGACACAAAACAACTATTATCTATTATTCTCAATGTCCAGACAAATAGATATCAATCATATCATGATAGGTTTATGAAGGGGCCACTAAGTCTTAATATGTTTTGTGTGGCTGTGGTGTATTAACCATGACCAGTGTGACTGTAGTGTAGTAACTGGGGTGTGACTGTGGTGTATTAACCATGACCAGTGTGACTGTAGTGTAGTAACTGGGGTGTGACTGTGGTGTATTAACCATGACAGGTGTGACTGTGGTGTATTAACCATGACAGGTGTGGCTGTGGTGTATTAACCATGACATGTGTGGCTGTGGTGTATTAACCATGACTGGTGTGGCTGTGGTGTATTAACCATGACTGGTGTGACTGTGGTGTATTAACCATGACCAGTGTGACTGTGGTGTATTAACCATGACCAGTGTGGCTGTGGTGTATTAACCATGACCAGTGTGGCTGTGGTGTATTAACCATGACAGGTGTGGCTGTGGTGTATTAACCATGACCAGTGTGGCTGTGGTGTATTAACCATGACAGGTGTGGCTGTGGTGTATTAACCATGACCAGTGTGGCTGTGGTGTATTAACCATGACCAGTGTGGCTGTGGTGTATTAACCATGACAGGTGTGGCTGTGGTGTATTAACCATGACCAGTGTGGCTGTGGTGTATTAACCATGACCAGTGTGGCTGTGGTGTATTAACCATGACCAGTGTGGCTGTGGTGTATTAACCATGACCAGTGTGGCTGTGGTGTATTAACCATGACAGGTGTGGCTGTGGTGTATTAACCATGACCAGTGTGGCTGTGGTGTATTAACCATGACAGGTGTGGCTGTGGTGTATTAACCATGACAGGTGTGGCTGTGGTGTATTAACCATGACCAGTGTGGCTGTGGTGTATTAACCATGACCAGTGTGGCTGTGGTGTATTAACCATGACCAGTGTGGCTGTGGTGTATTAACCATGACAGGTGTGGCTGTGGTGTATTAACCATGACAGGTGTGGCTGTGGTGTATTAACCATGACCAGTGTGGCTGTGGTGTATTAACCATGACCAGTGTGGCTGTGGTGTATTAACCATGACCAGTGTGACTGTGGTGTATTAACTATGACCAGTGTGGCTGTGGTGTATTAACCATGACCAGTGTGGCTGTGGTGTATTAACCATGACCAGTGTGGCTGTGGTGTATTAACCATGACCAGTGTGGCTGTGGTGTATTAACCATGACCAGTGTGGCTGTGGTGTATTAACCATGACATGTGTGGCTGTGGTGTATTAACCATGACCAGTGTGGCTGTGGTGTATTAACCATGACCAGTGTGGCTGTGGTGTATTAACCATGACAGGTGTGGCTGTGGTGTATTAACCATGACCAGTGTGGCTGTGGTGTATTAACCATGACCAGTGTGGCTGTGGTGTATTAACCATGACAGGTGTGGCTGTGGTGTATTAACCATGACAGGTGTGGCTGTGGTGTATTAACCATGACCAGTGTGGCTGTGGTGTATTAACCATGACCAGTGTGGCTGTGGTGTATTAACCATGACCAGTGTGACTGTGGTGTATTAACCATGACAGGTGTGACTGTGGTGTATTAACCATGACCAGTGTGGCTGTGGTGTATTAACCATGACAGGTGTGGCTGTGGTGTATTAACCATGACAGGTGTGGCTGTGGTGTATTAACCATGACCAGTGTGACTGTGGTGTATTAACCATGACAGGTGTGGCTGTAGTGTATTAACCATGACTGGTGTGACTGTGGTGTATTAACCATGACCAGTGTGACTGTGGTGTATTAACCATGACAGGTGTGGCTGTGGTGTATTAACCATGACAGGTGTGGCTGTGGTGTATTAACCATGACAGGTGTGGCTGTGGTGTATTAACCATGACAGGTGTGGCTGTAGTGTATTAACCATGACCAGTGTGGCTGTGGTGTATTAACCATGACCAGTGTGGCTGTGGTGTATTAACCATGACCAGTGTGGCTGTGGTGTATTAACCATGACCAGTGTGGCTGTGGTGTATTAACCATGACTGGTGTGACTG